AACACTCAATGCCACAATCAAATAGAATTCATAATATATATGTCAACAACAAAATTTATAATTTTTATTCTTCTCCTAAATATACTCATTTAGCAACTACACTTCATTTGAATGCTTAAACAACTCTTGAATGAATAAACAATAGCATAATTTATGTAAAAATAAATAAATAAATAAATAAAACAATTATAACGGTAAAAAGTTTCAAGTACGACTAAAATTTCATACATGAAAGAATTTTTGTTCAAACTATATATGAATGTTTTAACAAAATAAATATTTAGTTTTAAGCAAACTTGTTTTGTTATTGGAGCAGATTTACTAAGTCTTAAAAATATCTAGGCATGGGAGTAATACAGAAATGCCATCACATATACATATTTATATTTTTTTCAAATCAATTACCTATCGAAAATGTAAATATGTACATATATGTATATGCATGTATTTAACCACATTTCCTAAAAATTACATGAGCCGATCTGTGTACTGGATTTAATCAATTACTTCCTTAACATTTGCTTTTAGTTTGCTATGCTTGACGGCAGAGATGCTGTAGACAAAGGCTATATACAAAAAATACTCTTATATGACAAAGTTTGGTTCTCTTCGAGAACCATTTAATTTAATTTTTTTTGTTTTCTGCATTTAAAAAAAATTAAATTACTTTCCATTTAACAAAAATTATCTTCAATTTACTATACTCTAGTTTTTTAAACAATACTTATACATCTATACAAAAAACTCATACCTCTAGAAGTTGTTCTGATATCATCTAGTTATTTTTTTTTTAATTTTTCTTATCATGCTTATTATTTAATATTTCATGAACTCCAAAAAACCCTTGCTTGTTTTTAAACAATTTAATTATTTCCACCCAGAATTTAAAAATATCGACATAGATATCTTAAAATTCCCTGGAAAGCTTGTATATATTTTGAAATATATTTTATGTTTGTATTTTTTTTATTAGTACCCTTCATAATTTCTTAAGTTTACATATTTTTTCCTTTGAAGCCATTTTCTGAGACTATTTTTGTTGGAAAATTATAATTCTGCTATTTTCCCCTTAAGGATAAAAAAAAATCGAATAAACACGTATTTCCATATTTTGGCATACTGTGACCACCTCCCATTTATGTAACCATGAACATGTAATATGAGCAAAGTGCAAAAGAGCACACGAATATGAAGCGACGGCGACAAAGGTATTCATAAAGCGTTGCACAGCGCAATCACCACTATCAGGTGCAAGAGTAATAAGTAACAAACAGACAAACAAACAAATATATAACTAAACGCCAACAAATCACACAAAGGTGGCGCAGAGTAAAAATTTGCAATATGTATTGGTTGGAGTTGTAAAAATTTTATCATAAGTAGACGTATGAGAATATTTGTTGGTACTACCAACAGGCAAATATTGCAGGAGCAACAGCAGAAGAAGAAAGATAAAATAAAATAAAATAATATGATTAAAAAATCAACAACAGTAGCAGAACGAACAGAAATTGACTGCACAGCGAATGTTTACGGAAGGAAATCAAAGTAAAATATCTACACATATGGATACATGGATAGTGTATACACTGGAGAGAGAGCATTGCAGATGAGCAGCGCAGTAACAGAGAGTAAAAAAAATATGTTACTTTATAACAAAAACAAGCAGAAGGAAAGAAAAGAAAAATATATTAAGAGAATTCATTGCAGAGGCTCATAATTTACTATTGGAATCATAAATGTACAACGAACAGCAGCGATGTTAGTTACGACAGTACTGCTGGCAGCCGCAGTCAACACCGCAGTAAGCAGCGCCGTCAACAGCACAGTGAACAGCGTAGTGAACAGCACAGTAAGAGCATTAACCGAACAGGTAATCATTCGCTGTTATACGAATGACAAAAAAAGAAACAAGTGAGCTTGCCGTGCGCCACATTCGCAATGTCGCTCTGACTGCCAATTTACTTTTACAAGTTGATGTTTATTTTTGTTTTTTACTTGTTTGCTGGTTTTTTCTGCTTTAAGCGAGTATTATTGTAGAGAGTAACAATAACATAATTACATTAACGAATACTCAATGGTGGGTGTGAGTGAAAAAGTCTGTTGCTTGCTGTTTGCTACGTCAATGGTCTGTTCGTTTGGGGTTCTTCGTGCATGTGTACGAAGGTGAACGACTAAATAACAGCGTCGTGCCTTCATAGTGTATATGAGCGAGATAACAGTAGATAAAGTAAACTGATTGGAAATGAACAACGAAAAAAAAAATGCAAGTAACAAGAAAGAGTATTGTGAATATGAATCAGTTGGTGTGTGTGTGCGTATATGTACATGTCATATTGAAATTATATGAAGAAAAATATGATGATGGTGGCTACGAACACAACTGCATACAACTGTGTGAACTGAGCACGATTTGTTGCTACCTTTAAGCATACAAGTGTTTGCTCGTATGTTTACACAGGGCTCATGCCGCCAATCTAATAGGCGTTGGGTGAAAAGAGTAAGCGAATATGAAAAATATTATTGAAACATATAGAGCAATAAGTAGGTGTGAGGCAATGAATGAATATGAATAAAAATGGATGAGTGTATGTTGGCGAGTATGAGTGGATTACGGAGAGGAAATTCATAAACACACGCATACATACGTGTATTTTATGATGAGTGTAAGCGCGAAATATATGATTATTTTTCCACCACCTACTAGCATTTAATATTTCTGCTGGTTATAAATGTACGTACCCATACATAAGTGTGTACTTATGTGTGTATCTATGTATAAAAAAGTAATAAAATTGTTGCAAAGTAAGCAAGCACAATGAGTATGCCAGCAATGAATGAGTGGCAAAGCAAAGGTGAGCATTCACCTAAAACTAGGTGAGTATGTGTATGTGTATACATATATATATGTATATATTTATATCCACGCATTAGTGTAGCTCGTATACGTATATCAAATAGGCTGCAATAAGACTCGTTTTGCTACTAAACCGTTTCTGAGCAGCAATAAACTGCAATAGTGGCATTGTTGGCGTCGTCGCTGAAGCCAGCGTCGACGGCACTGCCTTGATGCTTCATTTCTTATTGTTTGATATCGACGTTGCTTACACGCAGTATGTTTTGTATGTTGTATATTTTTGTTTGAGTGACTTTTTGGTCGGTCGATTATTATTGTTTGTGTCAGTGCTATTTTGACGCGCGTGCTGAACGTTCGTACGCTAGTAGTGTGGTACGGCGAGTTGTTGATGATGATGATGATGTGTGGTGTTTCGTACGAACGAAAAGAACTGAGTAAAGAAAACGCATAGGCGAAAAAAAGATAACAAAATAAATCGTAAGAAATAAGACACATCTACGTGTTGCGTCGAGAGTATTGTAGTGTGCGGATACGAGGCGGCATTTAGTCGTAACGTACGCGGATTGATAAATGATTGATGGAAATAAATTGACTTCGATGTTGAATGTGTAAATAAGTGAATATATATGAAAAAAAAATTATAATAAAATGAAATTTATAATTAAAAGTGTAACAAGACATGAACAATTATTTAAGTTAATAGAAACAAAATATATATAAACACATACACATATGGAGGTGAAAACAATTATTGTGATTTTCATAAACAGTGACAATCAAAATTAGACAGATCACAACATTTTCTGAAAAATATTTAAATTACAGCATCTGAGCGGCAGCGAATTGGAAAAAAATAAACAAAGTGCCGACGGTAAAACAAGGAAGGAAAAGAAAAATTTAATTTATTATTTAATAAAGACTAAAAGGTCACGCAAAAAAACCTGAAAAATATATTTCTAAACGAAAATTAATCAAATAAATTGCCGGCAGCAGCAACAGTGCTACTTTTGCATGCGGAGCGCTATAAAGTGAACAACAACAACAACGCACAGAGACAAAATACAAACATATGTGTGCATGTGGGCGCCGATATGCGTATGTGTGTACTAAAAGTAGTGCTTAAAAGTCATACATAAGGTAGGCAGACAGACAGACAGCAGGAGGCGTAAGCCGCAGCGCAGTAGCCGCGTAACAGCGACGCAACGGCAATACGATTTTTCATCATCAGCGGTAATACAAAAAAAAAAAAAAAAATTGAAAAAAATGCAGCAACAGTAATAAGAACAACAACAACGCACCTAACCACAAACACACACACACACACACACACGCTCACACACATGAGAACGCGTAAGAGCAACAGCAGCAACAACAGCAACAAATTAAATTGTAAGCAACAGCGACATACGAATTTATTGATATTACACATTATGAGCGGTGGCGAGCATTATTAAAGTTTAAATGAATATGATGATGACAGTTGATGACGGCAGCGTGTAGCGTAAACAACAAGCGAACAATCGAACAACCAACCGACCGGCCGACTGATAAACCAAATATTAACCAATAATACAATACATACGTATGTCCATATATATGTACATGTGTATGAAAAGTAGCTAGTCCAACCAGCGATATTGAGCAAATTTAAACGGTATTATAGCGTTAAGCCGGCGGTTAGTACAAAACGGTAGCATTGTTTAGTTAAATCAAATTTATATGAAAATTAAATGATTAAAAAATATTAATTAATAAAATTTAAAATAAACAAAAAAATAAATCTACGATAAAAAATACGCTTAAAATATTTATAAAAATCTTTTGAAATTTTTTCAAAAGCCGCGCGCCGAATTTACCAACTGCTGGAAGCCTACAATATATTTTTAATAATAAATTTTCACAAAATCAACGCTAATGTCGCATCTGACTTTCCACGCAGTTGTAAAGCATTACAACTATAATTTTAACAAACGCCAACGGAAATGAAAATTTTATTCAATTTTGACTTGCAACAGCGTAAACAGAGAAACATACAAACTTGTGAGTGCGCAATAATTTTTTTTTTTATTTGTAAAGAGAAAAAATAATTTTAATAAATTTTTAAGCAAATATAAAAAGTGCTAATTTTTTTTTTTTACAAAATTTTGCTTAAAAAAATATCACAACATCTAATTAATAGAATATCAATATATTTTAAATGAAAAATCATATATCAACTGTTTTGTGTGAAATGCGTAGTGATTTCAAAGATAATCATCAAGAAACTATTAATAAAATGATACAATTTGGCACCGTTAAATATGGAATCGTCAAACAGTTGAAAGATCGTGCGCGTAGCGCCGATAAAGGTGAGTGTTGAAATCAAATCTAAATAACTTTGGATAAATAAATAGTTTTAAGTAATTTCAATTCTGATTTATAAACAGAAAATTGCTAAAGAAGTAGAAAGTGGACTTCGAAGGATTGTGTATAAAGACCTTTTTAGGTAAAAATTGAGGCATTGGCGGTATCAAAAAAGTTTTCAGTACTTGCTCAATGAAATGAGTTTAGAAAATAAATAATAAGAAAAATATAATAATTGTATTGAAATTTGTGAAAGTTACTAAGCCACCCTAGGCAAGGATCTACGGCTTCTTTAATTTGAGATAGTTCTTAAATCTATGCTGTGAAATTTTGGGTTTGAGTTATATTTGGCTAATGGTAAAAAATATTTTTTTACCTCTTTTTTATCGAAAGTCTAAATTCTTTCAAATAAAATATATAAACCGAAGAAAATATGATTTGAACACATTCTTACATTATTCGAAAATCGTATTTCAATTTTCTCCATTGCTGAGTTGAATAGTTTTCATTGAAAAAAAAGTATTTTTTTTTATACTAAACTATCCTTGAAAACTGAGAATTGAAAGCTCTGAATAAACTCGAATGGAAAATTTAAAAAACTATTTCGATGTTTTTATTATTAAGACATCAAAATATTTGAACTGTTCGCTTAACAAAAATTAATAAAAAAATATTTCAATTTCAAAAATTATTCACATATTTTGCTTTTGAAAAATCTGAAATAAAAGTTTTCAATAAACTCTCTGACAAAGAATATTATTTTAAAAATAAAAATAATAAAACAAAAAAAAAATAATATTAGTAATAATAATAATAATATTATTAGTAATAATAATAATAATAATATTAGTAATAATAATAATAATAATATTAGTAATAATAATAATAATTATAATAATATTAATAATAATAATAATAATAATAATAATAATAATAATAATAATAATAATAATAATAATAATAATAATAGTAATAATGATAATAATAATAATAATAATATCGAGAGTAACAATAATATTAATAATACAAATAAAATTAAAAATAATAGTTATAATAATGATAATAATAACAATTATAAAAAATAAAAATAAAAATAATAATAATAATAATGATAATAGTAATAATAAAAAAAATAAAAAAATATTAATAATAACAAATACAAACATTATATTTCCAAAAAAAAAAAAAAAAAATATTAGCATCGATTTTCTGTAATTTTTCCAAATTATATTTGTTGAAACGTCAAACTTTATATAATTTTGATAATTTTTTTGTAATATTTTGCGCTTTTCGAAAGCGTTTTCCAATATATCATTTCATTGTTAGAGCATATTTTCAATTTTTTTTTATTAAACCTCATTATAACGGCCAAAATATAAGTTTTAAAATGCTCCGTTCATGCCGTCGGCTTGACAGCGTTCCATACCGGAATAAGAAATATGTAAAGTATGAAAAATGTTGAACTCAACACAGCAGAAATTTTTTCAATATGAAGTTTTCCATTAGTTAATATTTTATATATAAATCTCAATATTTTAATTGCAATATTTTAGTCAAAATATTTAAATTTCAAATTTTTTTATATGTTCTCACAATATTTTCACTTCTTATGAGTTCTAAATCAAAAATTTTTTTTAAAAACTTTTTAGTTAATTTATTTCGTAATTTTCTGCTTTTAAAATATGAAAAAAAATTTGCTCTCTGTGTTTCTCTTTATATTGCTGTATTTGCCTTTATTAGTATTAATTTTCATTGAAAAAATGTTCAAAAAATTTTCAATTTAATTTTTGAAAAATCGATTTAAGCAAATTATGCCGCTGCATTTTGTCTATTTGTATATAAAAATGTACATATGTGCGTTTTTGACAAATGTGACAATTAAATGAATACATTTGAATTTGTTGTAAATATTAATTAAAAATTGCCTTAAAAGCCATAGAGAAAAAACGAAAAGCTTTGAACATCAAAAAAGGTAAAACTGAAAACTTAAATAAAAGGAAAAGCGAAAATTTAAAAAAATATATATGTATATGAATAAAAAAACGAAATACAACAAATATAAAAATATTATAAAAAATATACAATAAAAAATCAAAGAAATAAACAAATAAAAAAAATCCAATGTAAAAAAAAATATTAATAACAAAGAGAAGACAAAGAAATATTTTAATACGACAAATGCCTTGTGGATGCTATATGTATTTATGCTCATAATTGTTGCTAGCTTGCAGACATATATGAATTAATGTGATAGGTAGCCAACAAACCAACACACCTATTATTTTCGTATGTTAATTTTGCTTTCAAAATCAATTAAAAAATTATATATGTGAAACTACTTTTGGGTGCACAGATATTTAATAAGCAACAAGAAAAAAAAGTGACAAATGAAAAGGTAAAAAAAGAAATAGATAAAAAATTAAATATGATGAAGTTGAGGGCAGAAGCAACACGAGAAATAACTTCCATATAAACTATATACATATATAAGAAACAAATATGTATTTTATAAATATTACACACATATATATTATAAATTCATATATAACAACACACAAACTTACATGCAGTCGAAGACCGGTCGTGTCGGTTTGGCGATTGGTCCGCTGCGTCTACATGTTGCTGCTTGGAGGCTTAGGAGGCCCGTTTGTTGTTGGCGTTAAATGGCTGCTTAGTGGCCGGCTTTTGCTCAAAACCTTGTTGTTGTTGGCGACATTTTTTTTTTCTTTTGTTGCTATCTCTTTGCATCTGGTAAATTATATATAAAAAAATTTTTTTGGTTATTTGATTAATCATAAAATTCAGTTTAGCGCTTAATAATAATCCATAATAAAGCAACAAAATTGAATTAATAAGTAATTAAAAAACTTTTATGCTATTTGTGTTTGAGTGGTTTTTTTTTTTTGAGTCCAAGAAAAATTTGAATGTTTATGGCATATCAATATTATTTTTATATGTTTATAGTTTTTTAAACTACTATACTTTGGTTTTTATCAACTTTGATCTGAAACTAAAAGCATTTGTGGTAACTTGAAAATGATGTTAAATAATTTATATTTCATTATTGTATTTTTTTATGCGTAAATATGTATATTGAAAATTATGCTTTGACGCAAGCGAAAATTTAGTTTATTTTTTGAAGGAAGGAGATCCATTTGGCAATTTTGTATGTATATATAATATTGAATTGATATTAAAAATAGAAGTAAGAAAAAATAAATAAAAATAACAACGAATATGAAAACTTTAAAATTTTAAGCCTAACTTTGCTAAAAGTAAAAATTAATAAAAAATACTTATTTACAAATGATTGCCAAAAACAAGCGAAATGATTTGGAGCTGCTTACAGTTCTTAAAAAGGATTCCCTAAGTCAAAATTTTATTACCATAAATTTATTTAACCAATATTATTAAAAACTAAAACCAATGCTGGAAGCAAGGTATTCATATAATCATAAGCTCTTGGCTGTCTACGATTCTTAAAAAAAAAAAAAATTTAAAAAAAAAAATTATTAAAAAATAAAAATAACCACAAAATTATTGAGAAAAGAAAAGAGTTGGTACACAAATTAAACTAAAATGTTTTGTATATAAATATATTGAAGTGATTTTCGGCCGAGCTCCTCCTGTAATTTGTGTTTAGTTTTTTATGACAAAATGGAATTGTTAAATTTTTTGGAAAGAGTTTTCAAATGAAAGCTTCGAAATTTAAAAAAGTAATCATTAATTTTGTATTTAAATTTTTTGAGCTTACTTTGACTAAATTTAAAATCATGAAAAAAATTATTTTAAATTATTTATTTATTTAAATAGGTATTTGATTTAATCTTTTTTCTTTAAATTTTGTAAAAAATTTGATATACAAAAAAAAATAAAAAATTTTAGAAAAGAATTTTATAAAAATATTAAAATAAAATGTTAAAAAGAATTGTATGCAAAAGCTTATCAGAAACATTTTAATACATTTACTGCTAATTTATGATATTTAAAGCTTTAAAATTTAAAATCCTCAAAAATAATAATTTCGTGGTAGTCTAATCTAATTTTAAAAGAAAAATTATATATAACTTAATTTTTGTAATTTTTAATATGTGCTTTTATCGAAATTCATATCAGTTTCAATACAAATTTTAAGATTAAATAAAGGAAGAAAATAATTAAATTGAATATTAAGTAGTTTTTCATTAATTTTCGATAAACCTTTTAAATTTAAAATTTGGAAAAAATTTATTAATTTTCCAAAAAGAAATTTAAATTAATTTAAATTCTTCTTCTTTATGGGCGTTAAAACCGCTTATTAATTATTATTAAATTCTTTAACTTTATTAAATTTATAAAATTATAATCAAAAAACAATTAAACTGAAGCGGCTTAACAATTATGATATGAAAATTAGATATAAATTATGACCAAATATTATAATCATATTTTTTGTATAATTTCTCAAATGTTGAAATCATAGAAAAAAGAAAATTTTCGTAAATTGAAACTGTGTTCCAAAAAAATACTTAAAATAATTTAAAAGAAAAAAAACTATTTAAGCTGAATTAATAGATATAAACTTGAAAAATCTGTAAAGTAATTTTAAACCAAAATAAATCAGTTTAATTGCGCAAAATTAAAAAAAAAAACTACTCTAAATTTTCACACATTAATAATTCGATATTTATTTCTTTTTAATATATTTTAAACTTGTTTTTACCAAAATTTAAAAAAAAATCGTCAGGAAACACATGCAAAATTTTTACGTCAAATAAACAAAACTTCCTGTTTATTTATGCTTTGAAAACAGGAGTTAAAAATATAGATAAAAAGTAAAGAAAAAAAAATGGAAGCAAAAAATTTCAAACGCAAAATGGCAGACCATAAAATCGATGAAATTTAAATATTTAATAGCGCAAGCCAAATACTGGAAAACATAAAACATAAACGCCAACCTACGCATTATAAACGCGCGTGCAGATTTTATTTATTTTAATGAAATTAAAAAAATATTAAAAAAAAG